AGTTATTCATTCCTCTTAGTGGCAAATAATATTCTATTGTATGGACAGACCACATTTCGCTCATCTGTTCACTGGCTGGTGGACATTTGGGTTGCTTCCACTTTTGAACATCATGAATCTGCTGCTATGAACGTTTCTGTATGAGTTTTTGTGTGGACATATGTTTTCAGTTCTCTTGGGTACAGATCTAGCAGTGGAATATCTGGGTCATGTGCTAACTATGTTTACCTTTTTGACGGACTGCCAGACTATTTTCCACAGGGACTTCACCATGTTACATTCCCACCAGGATTGTATGAGGGCCCCAGTTTCTCCACACCCTCATCAATGCATTTTAGTGTCCATTTTTAAAATTCTAGCCACCCTAGCTGCGTGTAAACATGTTATCTGATGGTGATTTTGATTTGCATTTCCCTAAAGACTAATGATGTTGAGCACTGTTTTGTGTACTTATTGACCATCTGTACATCTTCTTTGGAGAAATGTCTATTTAGATTCTTTGCGCATTTTTGAATTGAGTTACTTTTCTTTTTATTGTTGAATTGTGAACATTCTTTATATGTCCTGGATACTATATCCTTATCAGATATGGGACTTGCAAATATTTTCTACCATTCTGTGGGTTCTCTTTTCATTTTCTCGTTGGTGTCCTCTGTCACACAAGTTTTTAATTTGATGAAGTCCAATTTATGTATTTTTTTCTTTGCTTGTGTGTGCTTTTGGTGTTACATGAGAGAAATCATTGCCTAATCCAAGGTCATGAAGATTTACAGCTATGTTTTCTTCTAAGAGTTTTATAGATTTAACTCCTAACTCTTAGACATTTTTCTGCTTAAACTATCCGTCTCAGCTCTGGGAATACTTTTTTCATTTTCAGATAATTTTATTGTAGAAAAGAAAAAAATTAAGAAATTAAAATTAAAGAAAAATATACACTTTTACTAAAGAGTAATCAGACCTTAAGATCAGTTTCATAGTTTGCTTTATTCATTTAATATATCTGAAACATTTCTCTATGTTATACTCTTTTATATCACAATTCGATTGACAACACAATATTTCATTGTTTGGATGTATATTATTTGTGTAATCCCTTATTATTGGTCATTTATGTTATTCCCATTAAAAATAATAGAAGTAGTATAGCAGTGAATGTGGGATTATTTCCTTAGAATAAACTCTCAGAAATGATTTTTAAAGAGTGAGCCCCTATTTCCAGCATCCTAATAAAACAGATATACAATGGTTCCCTGAGAATATTCTAGAACAGAGTGAAGGGCAGTTAGATAGACAGATTAAACAAAAAAGGAAGTCAACAGCTGCTTTCATTTTGGGGAAGTGCCTTCTTGACCTTGCCCAATATTCACACATTTTTTGTAGGTTATCATGTAGCAATACTAATAGCTTTTTCTTTGTTGCTACAATTATCATTTTAACCACCATGCAATATTACACTGATTTGATGGGACATAATTTACTGATTGTGCCCAGATGTTGAATACTTCAGTTGCATTCAACATTTAACTTATAAATAACACCACAGTGAACATATTTATCCACATAGTATTTTTGTTCTTTCAAATTGTCTCTTAGTGCAAGTTTCCAGCAGGCGGGTTTCTGTGTCAAATGGTTTAAACGTTTTGAGAACGCACGGATTGTTCCTTTGTTTCTGAAAGGGTCGTATCCGTTGTTCGGCGATGTATAAGGGTCCAGGATCCAGGCAAGCTCACCTCCATCCTCACACATGTTTTCAGATGTTTCCGTAACAATTGCAGGGGAATGGCTCTTGGGTTAGGGGAAGGTAAAATTACCTTCTATCTTATTACTATTTTTAACTTTTTAATTTACATTGAAAGAGGATTCTGTGTTCTTCACGTGGACTGCATAACTCACATCCATCCCATTTTTTTCTTAGTGTGAAGTTCAAAACTTATCTTTAAGAAAACAGAATATAGGAGGCTATACTATATCAGGAGGATTGATGTTCATGGTCTCTGAATTGGGAAATGTTTACTGTGTGTGGAGATATATGACATCGTTTCCAGGTTAGGAGAGAACGAAAAGAGGGCGTTCCATTTTTTCATGCAATGTTCATCTGTAGCAGGGGTCTCTCCATTTAGTGTTTTGTGACCATGAAGTTGCAACCACCCCACAGCTGCCTTCCCCTCCACGTCCCTTGATGGCTGTAGGTGACTAAACCTGGGTCTGTGGGAATTTCTGAGGGTCACGCTCTGTATCCATTTCCTGGGTTATTGTGGTAGCGACATCCAGCCGCCTGGGTACCTGTTGACTGAGGGAAGCGGATTCACCAGTGCATGGTGTGTCAGGGTCTGCCTCAGAGGAGGTGCCCTCGGCTCTGGGGCGTCTCAATGTCCAAGGCCTCTGACGAGGATTCACTGCTGTCACGAGAGCTCTTGGTGGCCTGGATTGTTCTGTGAGTCATTTCCAGTTAAGCTGGACTTAGGAAGGTGTTTGCGCCCTGCACTTCGGAAGCAGGAAGGCTGTTCTCCCGCCATCCCTGTGGGACCCTTGAGCCCTTGGCCACCAGAGGGGCCGTGTTTGGTGGGTTTGGAGGAAAACTGGGGGGTGAAGGACGAATGCATGCGAGGGGGAACTTTGGAGAAAGGAAGGGGCTTTTTTGGCAAGTTAATAATAGCACAAAGCAGCCTCTCTTCTGTTTGCTGCGGAGCCCGGAGAATAACCAGCATTTGTTTGGCTACTGACGTTGCTTTGTTTGGCCATTGAAAGAGCCCAGGTCCCAGGCCTCTGTTTTGAGCCTGGTGGAGACGGTGGTCCGGCCCGAGGGTTTTTGACTCTGAAGTTCGGCTCAGCTGGGCTCCTGCAGACCTGACTGAGGAAGACTGTCTCAACCTGCCTCCCACCTGTAGACCCGAGTCTGTCTGAGTCCAGGTCTCCCCGATGCCCATGTGGACTTGAACTCAGCCTCCACCGACGGGGCTGCCCTGGGGAGCCCTTCCGGCCCAGTTCTGGACTCTCTGAACCCAGCCCTCCCCAACTTGGCCCGAGGGGGCAGGGACTGTGTCCTTCTGGTTCTTCTCCAGAGGGGAAAGAGCAGGGCTCCTTCTTACCATAGGGCTCACCTGTATGCAGGTGATACCTCCTTGAATCCTCCTTGCTTCCAAGTGCTGGGAGCATCAACTAGAAGACAGAGGGGCTCCCGGGCAGGCTGCCGGGAAGAGGGAGACGCAGTGGTCCCAGGCGGGTTGAGATGTTCTTAGAGGTCACACTCCCTGAATCTTGGGGTAGCACCATGACCCCGGCATTCTCCCAAATTAGAGGCCAGAGGGCGGTCTCTGGGGCCTCTTCACCAAAGCCCATCACCCTGCCAGCGAGCCTGTCCTGGTTATGTCTGCCTGCCCTTGCCGCCCTTGCCCAGCCCTCTCATTTCCACTCCCCCGTACGTTTCCACAGTGCGCTGTACAGCCACGTCTCTGTCTGTCCACCGTATACTGTACACCCGTTGTATTCTCTGTATCCACCGTATGTTGTATATCCTCCATATACCAACTCAACTGACGCAACAGGACTCCTAGGTGGTCTCCCAGGTCAGGTATCCCCAGCTCCCGAGTGACTTTTCTCCAGTTCCAGACACCTGCCCTGCTTCATGGATCAGGCCCCAGACTAACCTGGGGTGGGGTCCCCCCTCTAACCTCCTTGCCTGTTTGTCGCTCCTCCCAGTTTCCTTACGTCCCTTGACGATATCAGGCTGCCTCACTCTCCAGGCTTTGCCAGCGCTGCTCTCTCTGTCAGATCAGCTGACAGGTACTTTTTGGAAACAAAGACAAGCAGTTCCACAGCATGATGGGTCTCAGAGCGCCTTGGTGGACTGGATTTGTTCTTGACAGCGGTTTGAGGGAGGTGTTGTTAGCATCCCAGGTTGCCTGGTGAGTAAACTGAGGCTGAGAGAGGTTGGGTGACTGGGCTAGGGTCACACAGCTCAGGCGAGGCGGGTCTGACCGCCTCTTCTGCCTCCGGGGCCAGGATATTTCCATCCGGTGCACTGCTCTGGGAGTCCCTGACGGTTCTGCGTTGACGGCCTTGATTATGGAATCGGATTTGCCCCCTTGCCCTACACTGATCTGCTAACTGTGCTTGGCCTGGATTGGCCTGTTGTCACTGGGGACTTGCCCCTGACCACATTCTCCACATAGCCTTGACCTCCATGGATTTCAGCTCTAGCTCTGCCCCTGTAAGGCTGGGGGTTCCTGACGGTCCTTTCTATCCTTGATAGCTTGCCAACATGCTGGGGCACAGGGCTCAAGATGGGAACTTTCTCTCGCCCCCGTCCTGCTGTGCTCCCACCAGACACCTGGGGATCCACACCTCACCCCACCATCTGCAGGCTCCCTCCAGTGCATCACACACATGCACACACACACACACAGTCCCCATGTTCACAAGTACTCGCACGCCCTCTGGTCACAAATTGGCCCAGGAAGCAGGAGGGCCCAGAGCTTGTTCCAAGGACAGCCTCCGTGATCCAGATTCCAGAAAGGCCCTGACGCTCTCTTCTCCATGGCCCACAATTATCAAGTGCCTGCCAAGTCTCAAGATAAGCAGGTAGTTTTCCCAGTAGGATGAGTGCATGCCCAGGACATCCGTGTTTGTGGGTGATGAAGAGAAAGAGAGACAAAGGGGAAGACCTGAAACGGGAAGGGGAGGCAGGGCTGTCCTGGGACACATAGGTAGCGGTGCTCTGGGTGACTCTGCTGGGCGAGACAGATGTGGCCAACACTTACGGGCTGCTACTCGGGCAAAGGCTCCTCGCCCCGTCTTTCTTCCTCTGGTTCAGCCAGAGCATGTGATTTCCTTTTTCCCTATTGGATATTGCAACTTCTGGCCACATGGCAACATGTAGTTTAATGACAGAGGCAGGGTGTGTGTGTCTACTGTGTAGCGTGTGTGTGTGTGCCTGCCTGTGCGCAAGTGTGTGTGTGTGTGTGTGTGTGTACGTGTGTGTGTGTGTGTGTGTTTAGCTATGTGCCAGCATTACTCTGAAAAAGAGAGAAAGAAAGAAAGAAGGAAGGAAGGAAGGAAGGAAAGGAAGAAAGAAGGGAAGATTGAAATGATTCGCCTAATGAAAAGTTTACTGGTGGGCACTCTGGGGTAGAGCAGAGTCTGGCCATTGTGGTGTGAATGGTTTGTCTCTTTTCTCCTGGCTTGCCCCTCACAGCTCTGACTTGGACTGTAATGCTCTGGAATTGACCGTGGATTGCAGAACATGGATAGGGGGCCTGCTGTCCTCCCCGCTCCCCTTGGAGGAGTCTGGGAGCCGTACTGGGAGTTCCCCGTCAGGGCTGGGGGTGAGGCAGGCTGAAGACTTGGCTGAGAAGGGAGACCAAAGGGCCAGTCACCATGGATGGGGTGGCAGGGGTTTGGAAGCAGGACGGAGCCAGGCGTCTGGGCTGCAGTCCCTGAGCAGGGACCCCTGCTGGGCTCTGGGCCAGCCTGGGGGCGGGGAGGGGAGGATGGGGCTCCTGCAGCATCCTCCTGCTGTCTACACCGCTTCCCCCTGGGCAAATTCAGTCTCCAGAAGCTGCAGCAGGTGAGGGCCGGGCCCCCTGAACTGGGAGTAACTTCCCAATGCTCAGAAAGTTTTCCTGGAGGAAACAACTTGTCCGGGAAAGGATGAGAATTAGCCTCTGGTCCTCTTGGGTTGGTCTGCTGGCTGGGTGCCTCCTCTGAAGTCAATACAGGTACAGAGGGAAAGGACACAGGCGAGGGGCAATTCTCACGTGGACAGGTGGCTTTCCTTCAGATAGGCACCACTCTTAGCAACTTGTCATCGCTGAGTGGGCAGACATATGGAAGGCAAAGTGCTGCGCAAGTCGTAAGGGACTCTGGTGACCCATTTCTGAGGCTGGTGGCAGTGTTTCCTCCCTCGAAAGGAGCGGGCACAGCAAGGACCCTCTCGGGCCTTGGGACGGGGACCCTGACCTCAGGCCCTGGGCTGTCACATGACAGCCAATGATTCCACGACTCACAGCCTTTGTGATTTCCGCCCATTTTCATGTTATTACCCTTGTGTCCTTTCAAAGAAGGCACATTTTTCAGAAAGAGAAAAACAAACTACTGGCTATTTACTTGATTTAACATTTTTATACATGAAAACTGAATTTACGTACGAACGAGAATGGTTTGGATAAAGAGAAACACCAATTTTTCTTAGGGGCTGGGCCTGAGGGCAATTTTAGCCTTGGATTCTTATTTTATTCTCATGTTGTTTTTTCAATAAAATAACATTATGAAAAATGAAAATTTGTTTTTAAGGTGTTTTATTTCCACAGTTTCCCTGGATGGAGAAACAGTTTTCACCGGGTAGGGCCATCAGAAAGAAGAAGCCTACATTCTCGCTTGGACTAAATGGTATCTTTTGAAAGTTTACCAGGGAGAAGAGCCATTTCAAAATGACTTATTGTTTTTGGTGGGTAGGTCCACGTTTCGGCTCATCTGTGACCCTCATTTCCAGGGCAGTGGCTTCCTTCAGAAAAGAGCAGCCTTTAGCAGTGAACAAAATGGATTACAGATCCCCTGACACTTCTGAGTTCCTGGCAGCTGGGGTGAACTCTTGCGAGGAAGATGAAGTTGATGAAGTTTCGGGAATGTCTGCGGGGCTCTGCCTGGCTCAGGGAAAGTGGCTCGCACAGTCTGGAGTCCTGTGTGCACTTGGAGCCTCGATGAAACGGAAGCATCCAGCGCTCCCGCAGATGTTCTGGTAACGGCATGGACCTGATCTTAAAATCATAGCCACATCTTTATTTATTAGAAAGGCAGGGGAGATTTATTATCTCCTCCAAATAACACGGCCACGGCTATTTTCGGTCAAGTGGACCACGACCTGGGCAAAGGCAAATCAGGATTTACCCAGGCTGTAATCAGTGTTTGAACTGGTTGAGGTGACCATGTTTTCTCAGATGTGGACAGTGTGTGCGTGTGTGCGTGTGTGTGTGTGTGTGTGTGTGTGTTTGCATATGTTTGCAGGGGACACAGCCTATGGATTCCTCTTATAAGGACCTTTTATTTACTCTTAGAAATGAGGATAAACGCATATGGCTTAAAAACATTTAAAAGTATCGGGGTGATAAATAATGATTGTATTAGTTTGCTAGGACTGCCGTTAACAAAATGTCACAGACTGGGCGGCTTAAGCAAGAGAAATGTATTTTCTCACAGTTCTGGAGGCTGGAGGCCCAAGATCAAGGTGTGGGCAGATTGTTTTCTCCTGAGACCTCTCTGCTTGTGCTGTAGACAGGTGTCTTCTACCTGTGTCCTCACATGGTCTGTGTGTGTCTGTGCTCTAATCTCTTCATCTTATAAGGATACCAGTCCTATTGGATTAGGGCCCACCCTAGTGACCTCGTTTTACCTAAGTTACCATTTTATAGATCCTATCTCCAAATATAGTCTCATTCTGAGGTACTAGGAGCTAGGATTTCAACGTACGGATTTGGGGGGCCACAGTTTGGCCCATAATAATGGTTTTAAGTTTATACAGCAGAACAATGGACTCGAGCATCCAGCACGGGCCTGGCCCAGATTAGATGCCACTCTGTGTTGTTTCCATTGTTTTTCACAGCTGTCCCTCCCTCTACAGCTGGGGATAAACTCTCAACATGGGACCAGCCTGGATGGATGGCAGGCCCTGCAGAGTTTTGGGGTTTATCCCCTCCTGCCTCTGGGTTCCTCCTAGAGATGACTCCACAGATGTTTGGAAAGACTCTCATGGAATTATTGCCTTTTCCCCGTTCAGCAGAGTCTGTGTCATGGGTCGCCTTCTGAGGATGGATTTTTATGGGCCTTTAGAGCCCTCTGCCTATTTTTGACACTTCCACAAGGTGAGAAGGGACCAGGTGTCATGTCGATCAGATGGAGAAGACTCTGGAAGGGGAGCCCCGTGGCTGCCCGAGGCTGAGTCAGTCTTAGGCAGAGCCCGGAACACAGCCCAGGTCTCCTGATTCCTTCCCCGTCCCTTCCCAGAGCCCCGAAACCCACCCTTCTGAGAATACATTGGTCCCGCCTTTGTGGTGCCTGGTAAGTAGGGCGGCCTTTGGGGCGTGTGGGTGAGGAATGTTGCTCCGAATTCAGCCAAGAGCCCTGTTCTCCAGGCTCCATCCTGTTCCTTTCTGCTCCCCACCTGCCCCCTCCCACTGATTCTTGGCATCTAATGACAGCCTTCCTCTGTGTCTGTCTGTCTGCTAACTGGTTATCTGTCTGACTCAGGGCCTCAGCGCAGCTGGGAAATCTGTGCATTGCAAAACTGGCCCCCCTGCCCCTGACGGCCCTGGATGTGGATGTATCGTCTGTCGGACTAGAAGCTCCCTGAACGCAGGGATGATTTCCAATCCAGCTTTTGGTGAGCAACTCCTAACATGTTGCTAAGCACATAGGAAACTTTATCTATGTGTGTTGAATAAATGAATGAATGAATTTTAACATGGAATTTTGGAAGTGGAAGAAACTAATGCTCCTTTCTCCTGACAAAGGCAGAAATCTCTAAAAAGTCCTTGACTGTATCTCCTTCATGCTCCCAGGGATAAGATGCTCGCTCACCAAGTAGCAATTTCCCCGCTGGGGAACTCTGATGCTCAAAACAGTTTTTCATAGCAGCTGAACTCTGGCACTCTCTCATGGTTACCCTGCGGTCTAGTCCTGGGCAGGACCTTGGAGATCTCTGGTCCACGGATCCTCTGAGGGGAGGAAGAGGGTGACTCCTGGGTGGTGGCAAGTAGGCTGGAGAAGTCCAAGATCATTTGAAAAAGCCGATACATCTTTACATATTTTGAAACTTGGGAAATGAAGAAGAGCCCCTATTATTTTAATGATAAAAACTATTAACAATAAAGGGATGAAAAATTATGAAGGGAGGCAGGGGAAGGAGGAGATGAAGATTTCTCAAAGTTTACCTGGTTATATTGTCTTGAGTTTTGAACCACCTGAATGTATCACCTATGCAGAGCGAAAATTAAATAAGATGTTAAAATGAGAAGCCGGGTGTGTGTGGGGGAAGAAAAGGAGGCAAACTTGTCTCAGCTGGGATGAGATGACATGATGATTCCAATGGCCCATCAGCCCATCTCCCGCCACATTTCTTTTGCACGTGAGAGAGGGTGTGTTTTAATAAAGTTAACAGACACTTGGGCACAGGAAGCTCAGAGAAGTAAAGTGTTACATCCGGTCACCAAGCAAGTCAACTCAATTTCTTCTCCTTTCAGAAGCTCGGTTTGCAGAGAAATTTGGTAGAAACCATTTTGGCCTGAGCATTATGTTGGGGATATTTGTTAGCTGGTCCATTTGAATTCGTATGAATTATTATCTTGGAGCTGACACCAGGCAGAGGTGACTGCCCCACAGTGACTCAGAGAAACATCTGAACATCTCCCTTTACATCTTTTCTGAGCCTTAGTCTCACATTACAAAATGAAAAACCAATAACTTGGGAATACGTGAACGATGTTTCACTTCACCGATTCATAACTGCCAGTCAAATGCGATGCCATCTTTTCACCAGTTATATTGGCAAAGAGGAGCCATTTGGTCATTTGCAGTGTTGAGTGTGAAGACCTAGGCCTCCTGCACATGGTTGGTGATAGGGTTAATTGGTCCCAATTTTACATCATTTGGTGGCAATTTCGCATTACGTATCAACACCGCAAGTGCCTCCAGTTTTAATTCTAGGGATTTATTCGTCAGGTATCCTCTGGTGATGCAAGAGAAGGTGTGGGAACAAGGTGGCTCATTACAGCAAGATTTGTAATGGTGATAAGCGAGGAGCTTGGTCAGTAAATTACGATGTCCATATAATGGAATATTATACTGCCATTGAAATGAATGAGGTAAATTTTGTATGGAAAGCATGGCAAGATATTACATTTAAACAAAAAGGTAAATACTCATGACAATAGTACACATCCACTGTTTGCAGAAAGATATTTGTATGTGTTTGTGTAGATGGAAATTTCTGGACAGATGCATAGGAAGCTGTGGATGATGTTACCTCTGGAGAGTAGGGGGAGGGCCTCTGAAATGGGCAGGAAACTAACTTGAGACAGTATAACTTTTTGGAGTGATCAAATTTGTTCTCTACGGAGGTGTGAGATTTTCATTGGAAAAAGGAACTCCCTCCTCCAACAACAATCTAATCCCTCACAGGCCATTGTGAAAATCAAGTCAGATGCCTCAGTTCAGCTCGATAAACTTGCTTCCAACACTGAATCTGTTCCAGCCACCCGCTAAGGTATGTAAAAACTGCTTCCCGAACTGTTAACCACCACGAAAACTGAGAGCAAACAATTTCAGATAGTACAGCTAATGAAGCAAATCTCGTGAGAACCAGCTTCCATTCATAAGCTGGAACCCTCCAGAACGTCCGGATTCATTGCAGATAAGGAGCCATTGTTCTTTTATTAAGTGTTAGATTTTAGCAATACGGGATTACAAACTTCCAACCTTGAAAAGCACATGCTCCCTCCAAATCCTTCCGGAAAGCCAGAAAGCCCTATGAAGATATTAAGGACTTGGGACAGACTGTTATATATCACAAGACCTGTGACAGGAGAGAGAGAGGGAGGGAGAGAAAAGTGCTATTGCTGGGTCATTTTTTTGTTTTTTTAAACATTGTAGCAACTGTAATTTTTTTTTAAGTAGTTATGTATTCAGTATTTTATTTATTTATTTTTGGCTGTGTTGTGTCTTCTTTTCTGTGCGAGGACTTCCTCTAGTTGCGGCGAGCGGAGGCCACTCTTCATCGCGGTGCGCCTCTCACTGTCGTGGCCTCCCTTGTTGCGGAGCGCAGGCTCCAGACGCGCAGGCTGAGTAGTTGTGGCTCACGGGCCCAGTTGCTCCGCGGCATGTGGGATCTTCCCAGACCAGGGCTCGAACCCGTGTCCCCTGCATTAGCAGGCAGATTCTCAACCACTGCGCCCCCAGGGAAGCCCTGCTGGGTCATTTTTAAACAGCACAGGCAGGCATCCTTCCTCCAGGGTTCCATTGCACCACTTTAATTCTGCAACTCATCCTTACTGTGACTTCTTGGCTTGGAGATGTTTAAAGAGCTCGTAAATATTCAGATATTTCATTAACCAGCTCTGCTCTGAGCACCCACTGCCTTCTGACTGCCGTCCTCTGGTAACTGTTTCCCCCCCACCCCCCACCCTGCACTCCCAGTGCACTGATTTTATTAGGTGAACCTCTTTTAGTTAAGATTTCTACTGTCCCCAACTGGCCTGACAGCCTTCTTCGAGCTTCTTCTTGGGTTCTAGGGAATGGATTACAATGTGTGTCCCAGTGACCCTGTAAGGCCATGGCCAGTGTGTTTTCCAGCGTCATCTCCCAGAGCAGCTTGAATCAGTGGATCAGTGAGCCTCCGTCCTGGCCCGCTGGTGACTATTCCTAGAAGGTAGAAAAGAATGTGCTCTTAGAGCTGCCCAAGGCATCACCCTGCCCTTGGGGCTTTTCCCCCGTTGTCCTGTGCACTTGCAGCCAGGGCCCTGCCATGTAGTGCTGGCAGCTTTGGTGCCCTTTGTCACTGCAGACCAGGTGGGAGGCTGTTGGAGGACACCTGGAGGGAGATAATGAGTTGGGGACCTAGGGGACAGGATGGAGGGTGGTACAGGGTGCTGTGCTGTTGAAGTGTCCGCTGGTCACATTCTACCTGGCATCTTTCTAACATGCAGAGTTTTTTAAAAAAATTATTTTATTGAAGTATAGTTGATTTACAATGTTGTATAAATTTCTGCTGTACCACAAAGCCATAAGGTTATATATACATATATATATATATGTGTGTGTGTGTGTGTATATGTATATATATATTCTTTTTCATATTCTTTTCCATTATTGTTTGTCACAGCATATTGAATAAAGTTCCCTGTGCTATACAGTAGTACCTTGCTGTTTATCCATCCTGTATATACTAGCTTGCATCTGCTAATCCCAAACTCCCAATCCATCCCTTCTCCACCCCCCAACCCCTTGGCAACCACAAGTCTGTTCTCTGACTGTGAGTCTGTTTCTGCTTTGTAGATAGGTTCATTTGTGTCATATTTTATTTGTTTTCTCTTTTTTTTGTGCGGTACACGGGCCTCTCACTGTTGTGGCCTCTCCCGTTGCGGAGCACAGGC